TTCTCTTCTTCTCCCCCTTCCTTCCTCCCCTCCTTCCTGTTTTTTTCCCTGCTTAACTATTCAGTCCACAAACCATTAGGGAGACCTAGAAGAGTGGGCACCTGTGCTAGAGCAGAGGGGAGATGCAGTGGCCCGCAGGGGTGTTGGAGACCAACCGTATATCGAGGCTGAGAGAGACGCATGAGAGAGCAGCCAGGGCTGAACCCAGCATGGCGTGTGGAGGCTCCACTGAGTTGAGGAGCTTGGGCAGCACGAGACGGTGAGCATGGAGTGTGGAGACCTGAGGAGCGGGGAGGGCTTCTGCCTTAGGGCAGAGGACAGCCCAGCACAGGCTAGAGACCAAATTGCATGAGGAGGGCATCCATGCCAGGAAGGAGTGATGGCAGCAGCGGAAGATTGGTTAAATGTAGGGAGATTTATCAATTAAGGAAATATGTTCAAGATGACTAGAGCCAGGATTCCTGGCGGCAGAGAGGAGAGCCACAAATATAAAAAGGGAAAAAAAAAAAAAAAAAACTAAAGTGAATCCTAAGGTGTTTGAATTTGTGGTATCTGTGTGAACTTGGTATTTTTAATAAATAGATAAATAAATACATAAATATGAATGCAATTCTATGTGTATACATACGTATATGTAAACATACACGTATATATTTCTTCACTCTGTCCCCCAAGAGGGCCTGAGGGACACTCCAGCACCAATGAGCACACTTAACCTCCTGGATCTGAGTTTCTAAATATCATTCACCTCTGCAAGGAACCAAGACTCTCACAGCCAGTGCAGGAAAGTGCTAGATGAGCCTGGAATGTCTCACTGTGCCAGAAGTAAGGACGTGCTCAAAGAGTGATGGAAGATGAGAAAAGCATACAGAAGCCAGCTTGGAGGGACTCCTACTGGCCAACTCAGGCAGACAAACCAGAAAAATGAATAATGAGGATCACACGTTGCAATCCATTGAACACGGTATGAAACCATGAGCTCATACTGATAAAAATAGATAAGTGAACAAGGCTGGTCTCCAAGCATCTCCACACACAATTGCTTACAAAGAGGAAAAGAGTAGCTCAATGGTGGAGATGACTGGCAGACACTACAGCAAGCGAGTGATCAAAGTCAGCGTCCCTCATTCCAAGACAAAACAGAATCATGTCCCGCCTGATAAGATGCAATGAGAAGTTTCTGGGAAACTCTTGCCACAGTTGTATGGTCTGAAATTAATCATGAGGAAATGTCCAACAAAGCCAAAGTGAGGGGCATGCATCAAAACAGTTGGCCTGTAGTCTTCAAAAGCATCCAGATCCCAAGCATTAAGGAAAGACTGGGGAACTATTCCAGATGGAAGGACACGATACAGACGTGACAAGTAAATACAGTGTGGGATCTTGGACTGGATCCTTTTGCTATAAAGATTATTCCTGGGGCAACTGGGAAAACTTAAATGCAGGCTGAGGGTTCAATCAATTCTTTTCCTGCCTTTGATGGTTGTCTTCTGGTCAGATAAGAGCATGTCTTTGTTGACAGGATACATAAACTAAAGTATTCATGGATGATAGACATCACTTCAGCAACATACTCAAACTGTTCTGGAAAAACAGCGTTGTTTTACACTGTACTTGCAGCTCTTCTTTATGAATGATGTTTTTTCCAATTTAAGAAGCTATCACTGTGATGCCCAGCCAAAGGCTTCAGCCTCCTTCAGCCCACATTATCTGGCCATGCTTGTGATGAGGTCAGTCTGCTTAAGAGACGCTGAGTCAGCCTCACACCACAGTACTGAGGTCATCACGGTCGTGCCTGTCATCTAAAATATCCTGCATGGGAGGGGGAATTGAGGGGGAAATTGGTGGACTCCGTGCCCTTCTGGAGCCCTGCATTGATTTCAGGAAGGATTCAGGCCACAAGAATTGGGAAGATAGATGTCTCTGTCACATGGGCATTGGGTCGGTGGTCACAAGAGCAATGTCCCGACTTCCGGTCTCATGTCCAGCCCTGGCAGGTGCTCTGCTCTCAGGGGTACACCCTGGGTAGCTTCTGCCTCCTCCTCTTCCATGTCAGGAATGCTGGCAGAGCCAAGCTGTCTACCCTGAAGCATGGGTTGAATGGTGGGGGCATGTTCCTCTCAGGGCGTGGAGCTCCTGCCTAGGACAAGAAGCCCTTCCAAGGATAAGAAGACTTCCTGTGTAGTTGTGAGTCTACATCTGTCACCATAGTGCAAACACAGCAAAGAGAGACTCATGTGTACCCAGGAAAACGTGGCCAGGGTGGCGAAGTCTCTGAAAACCATGTCATGAGAAGTGAAATCAGGTGAGATGGACCATCTGCCTTCAAGCATGTGAGGGGGTGACCCATGAGAGACACAAGACCTGTCTTGTATAGCTCCAGAGTATGAACTAAAACCAACAGTGGGCGATGGAAGGAAGTGGAGTTCAGCCCCACATAAGGAAGGAACTTTCCAACACTGACTCTCCAAAACATCCCAGGTAGCCCACACAGCCTTTTAATTTCTGGGAACTCTGCTTACTCTACTTAGGTATTGTTTCTGCTGCACTGCATGCTGCATGGTACTGCCCACTGATAACCCCGCTCTGTGGCATCATCTGCCCATGGTGGAAAAGCCAGCAAACATGCCCTGGCCAAAAGCAGGCACAAGCAAACAGAGTGCTAGCCTGGCCGTGCCAAGCCTTGGCATCCATGTTGGCTCTGTGGCTAACTCACTAGGAACCTCAGGAATATCCCCTTCAACTTCTCTGCCTCTGGAATCCTATCTGTTCTATTTACTTCACAGAGTAATGGAAAAGAAACATCAAGATAATGGACATGAAAGTGCTCAGGAAAATAAGAAGTGCCTTCAGCCTATAAAGGTAAGCCTCTGTCATTAGGATCAGGTTTAGAAAACAATGTGTGAACACAGGGCTGTAAAGCAGACAGGTTCTGAGACACACCTCACCTAGCTCCATTCCTCATTTTACAAGTGAGAGCACCATGGGATTCACATCACAGCGACTCACAGGACAGCAGCGGGGCCAGCCAGGTTTGATTGGGACACTAGAAGCCCCAGCTCATACTTAGATGACCACCCAGTGGCCATCTAGCTGCCGCTTGATTACCTTTGTAGACAAGGAGCTCACCTCCTCAAAGGCAGCCCCTTTCACCTTTGATAGGCTTAGGTGCTTAGGAAACTTCACCAAAACATGAGGAAGGGGAAGAAATCATGGTGGCCTTTCCTCTTCCAATCATTGGTGTCATTGATGCTAAAAGAGCTCCTTAGACTGCATCTACCTCCTTTCCTATACAATGTGCATTCAGTTGGCATGTGTTCTCTACGACACTTTCTTCTCCAGCCTGTGCATCCCTACTTTCTTGGTCCACGCCTCACTTGAGTCTGTGCTGGTTACCCTGCAATCAGCATACTTGAATTTTTCCAGAACTGGCTCCCAGCTCCCCACCCAGGTGGCCATCTTGTCTTTGGCAGTTGAACACGTGTATGTTTAGGACATCACCTGTCACCTTCCTTTTGAGCAGCTTCCTGTCCACAGCTCTTTAACTCAGCAGTAAGCCTGGGTGTCAGGCCTGGACGAGGAGAGCTCCACCTGCTCCTCATGTACGGTTGATCCTTAACAGAAGACAACAACCTTGAAATGACCCAGGAAGGTGGACCCAGAGTCTGAGGCTTGACTGGGACACTGGCCAGGGACCCCCACTCCAGCAAGGAAGCCCCCTGCATGTGTGAAAGGCATAAAGAGAGGCCCATTGCCATGGTGACTGTCAGGCAACCTAGCCTGCCTGAAACCCATGAGGAAAAGCCTCCGGGAAGGATCGTGAGATGCAGGAATTCACCCACAACCACTGTCAACCCTCCAGGGGCATTTACTGAATCAAGCAGTGCCTGGGCTGTTTCAGCTGTGGCCCAGAGAGGAGGATGGGGCAGGGCTAGCATGATCCATCCCACAGGGGGAAAGGAGTCCTTCGAGGGTGTGTGTGTGTGCATGTTTGTGTGCATGTGTGTATGCTTGTGTATGCATGTGTGTGCACCTCTGCATGTGTGTATGTGTGCTGACACATTGAACTGACACAGAATCCTTGTCTCCTTGGCCAAAGCCTCTTTCTTCAGGTGCCACGGTGATGTGAAGCATCTTAGAGCAGCTGGGGGGATATGAGTGAGGCTGAGGGAGACATTCCTCCTCCATGCCCCCAGAGTGCTCTGCCCACGCTTCCATTAGCACTAATTACATTGTGCTCTAATTCTCTGTTTACACATCTGGCTCTTCCACCAGAGCAGCTCCAGCACAGGGGCTGTGTCTTGTTTTTATATCCCTGATTCCTAGGACCATTCTTGACATATAGTAGGTGTTCATTAAGGGTTGCCTGAATAAACAAATGAATCTCTGCCAAGGACAAAATCAGAGTGTCTGACTTAAAATGGCAGCGTGCAAGGTCGAGGTTCAAGTCTCACAACAGCTCTGTGCAGCTCCTGCCATGTGTAGGGTACTGTGCTGGGCATATGGCCTCATCTTCAGGGAAGTCACATCCAGTGACAGGGACAAGGCAGAGGGACATCCTGCAGACCTGGTCACAAACTTATCAGCCAGAGATGGGTGATGAGTGCCACTCAATGACAGAGCTGTGAGAGGAACCCAGAAGACCCACCACCAGGGTGCCTACTGGATAGGTTACCAAGGAAAGGCCTGGACTTATTTCATGATTATTTAGTTGTTTTTCGTGTACATGGTCCAACTACTCTTTTTGATGCATAGGTTCACACATTTTTGACAAATGCATAGAGTTGTGTAACTGCAAAGAAGATAGAAAACATTTCCATCATTGGCCAGTTTTTTTGTTGTTGTTTGTTGTTTTTATGTATTTATTTATTTTAGATGGAGTTTCTGTCACCCAGGCTGGAGTACGGTGGCATGATCTCTGCTCACTGCAATCTCTGCTGCCCAGGTTCAAGCGATTCTCCTCCCTCAGCCTCCCAAGTAGCCAGGACTACAGGCATGCGCCACCACACCCGGCTAATTCTTGTATTTTTTAGTAGAGACAAGGTTTCACCATGTTGGCCAGGATGGTCTTGAACCTCTGACCTCATGACCCACCCACCTCAGCCTTCCAAAGTGCTGGGATTACAGGCGCGAGCCAACACGCCTGACCTTGTTTGTTGTTTTTAAATAATCACTTTTATCTTATCTGGTTCCTTTTTTACTTCATATCCACTTTAGTGGAGACATGCAACTGAAAACTGAGTCCATTTGTTATAATAACCTCATCAGATTTATCTGGCCTTTAAGTCCTATTTGATGTTTCAAAGCAAGAGAAGAAGGGAAAGGAAGCAGTAAGGTGAGATTTGGCACCAGGTCACGTTGAGAGAAGGGCAGTGTTTTGCTCCAGATTCCCCATCTCTGAGCAGAAAAACATACTACCCAGGGAGGGAATCCTGTGAGGATAAACCTTGCCATGTACCCCAGGTGCACTCCTGGAGAATAATGTTTAATTCCAATTCTATCAAAGAGCCTGTCCATCACTGTTTCTGCTGGTCACCAGTCCTCGCCTCCTCTACTCCCACCCATGCATTTCCTAAAGTTTCAAGTAAGCAGAAAATTGACCAAACCATTTTTAAATAAACTTAAATGTAATGGACAAATTATTATTATTTAGGGAACCTTGAAAAATGTTTTTATATGAATAAATATCTTTCCAAAAGAATGGTTTTAAACCATAATGGACGGAATTTGTACATTCACGTGAGGTTGCTCTTTGAAACATTTCTGTGGGATGTTGTTGGCTTATTCCAACTTTGAGGCTATTACCCGGAACACTGTTGGAACTTTGCTTCTGAAATTGCCTCCAGAATCAGTATACAAGACATACAAGAAAACTGGCCTCATTTTTCAAGTCACATATATATTTTACCCTTCCCGGATACTTGTGAGAGCTGCTCTCCACTGATTTTCATTAACTTAATGTCCAACCTGAAGGTCAGGAATAGAACAGCCAAACATCATTAATTTGGAATTCACTATTTTGGAATAAGAAATAGTTCAAACAAGTAAACTTCAACCATACAATTGCTTTCTTTGAAAGAAGTATTTGTCAACCAAACTAATCATATATGCAAATCAAAAGGCAACTATTTAAAGCTACTCAAAAGAGAATAAACTGATTAAGCATTCTCAAGTGCATACACCCTATATTAAGGTATCCTTTACCCAACATATATGTAGGCTCATTACAAACTGTCTTTATTAACCAGTCATTCCTTCGTGGGCCTGCAGAAAGCCTTTCTTCATTGACCTGTTTCCTGTCACTGTCAATACTTGAATGTAATGACATTATATCTCTTTTAAAAGATTTCATAATTGAAAATTGTCACTAATTTATACCAAGCTTCCACAAATTAGTCTGAATTAAAGAAGTCTGATTGTACTAGGTTGACCCTTGCACATCATTGGTAGGAATGCAAAATGGTGCAACTGCTATGAAGAACAGTATAGAGGTTCCTCAATAAATTAAAAATATAACTACCATATGGTTTAGCAATCCCACTTCTGATTATCTATCCAAAAGAATTAAAATCAAAATCTCAAAAATGTATTAGCACTCTCATGCTCATTATAGCATTATTCTCAATAATCAAGATGTGGAAACAGCCTAAATGTTCATCGACAGATAAATGGATGAAGAAACTATGATATATACAGAGAATGAAATACTATTCAGCCTTTAAAAAGAAGGAACTCTGCAATATGTGACTGTAGCCTGCAATATGGGTGAACCTTAAGGACATTATGCTACACAAACTAAGCCAGTTGCAGAAAGCACACAAATGATGTGTGTTTCCACTTACTCAAAGTATCTGAAATAGTCAAATTCACAGAATCAGAGAGTGCAGTGGTGGTTGCCAGGGACTGAGGCGGAGAGGGGAGGGAAAGGGGGGTTACTATTAACAGGCATAACATTTCAATTGAGCAAAATGAATAAGCTCTACAGATCTGCTGTACGACATTGCACCTATAGTCAACAGACTGTTTTGTATACTTAAAAATGTGTAAAGAGGGTAGATCTTGTGTTGTGTTCTTACCACATGAAACAAAATTGTAAAAAGCACACACACAACTGCTGCAAACTGGGCATAAAAGAGCACTATATCCAGACTAAATAGAACTTAAAAGAATACTGCTGCTTCCCCATCATCTACATTCGTGCCCTCTGCTTTAGACCTGTTTGCCCTGAGAAGTCAGTTGGGCAATCTAAAACTCACTTCGGGGACAAAATACATCCTTCCTGTCCATAAGTGTAATCCACTCGAACCCAAGAGATTCTGACTGTGTGAGGAAAAATTCCAGCCTAAGACTTCCGAAAGGACTGGGGATGAGAGGAGGGCAAATTCAAGTTTAATAGAATGAAACCTCGGAAAATGGACAAATGCAAATTAGGAGAGAGAAGCAGAAATTCTTCACATTTTAAAAGGCTCCTCATTAACTTATGTGATAGCATTCTGAGAATTTGTTTGAGGAATGCAGGGATGTGTAGACTCGAGAGTGCAAGAATGACTCTTCTCTGCTTCTGGGCAAGAAAACAGATTTGCACTGTAGCTAGAAGTATTACTGATGAGTATTAAAAACTTCCTGGATCGTGAAGGAGCAGGATAGCATCACACCATGAAATTTCTTTGTCTGGAGGTATTATAGTAGAGGAGCCCACTTTGAGAAATCAGGATTAATTCTGTCTTTATTCGACATTGTCCTCCTTTGCCAGAGTCTCCTGTGGCTGGATGGTAGATTAGTCCCCATGGCCACACTGGGCCTCTTTGAAGTAGCTGTGGCCACTGGGACGAATGAAGATGAGCATCAGACAGTAGATTGTCCTGCAGAGCTGGGGAGCTCCAACCAGCCAAGAAGACATTTCTCCCAGAAAGACCCCTTTTACGGGAGCCATGTGGTGTCACTGCTTGCAAGCTCTTCCGACACATATACTTCCTGAAACAGGGGGAGGAAGAGCTACCTGAGAAGGTCTCCTCTGCAGTGTGAGGTGGAGGGATGTAGGGGGAGTGATGTACACTTAGTTTATTTTTAAGCAAGTGACATACAGACATGGAGAATGAAAATGCAAGATAGGTTTGAAGCTGCAACCTTTCTCAGCGGAGCTGCTAGGAGAGGAGCTGTCCACAGAGCAGCTCCATTTCCCTGTGCCCTGTGTTACAGCGGGGAGCACTTCCCACTCCTGTAAAGCCAGACAAACCTGCCACTTGAATCCCCATCTCCCGGTGACGTGGGCACATAGTGGCAGTATATGGCAATAGAATTAATGTGGCTCTAAAGTAATTTGAAAATGCCAAGAGTAGCGAATTATCACATGAAAATGCAAATTGTTCCTTATCTGGACTGTTCCACAGATGCTATGATTCATCATTGAGCATTCAGCTGTATTTCCAAGTAAGATCTCAGCAAGAGGGTAGAAAGGCAGGGCTGAGGCACGTTCTGCCTGGAGAGATTTATAGCTCCTTTTATCCAGATGTAAAGCACATGAAGTTGGGAGAGAATATTAAACCTATAAAATCTCAATCTATCATGGAGTCCTTATTTGAGGAAGGCCAAAGGACACACAAGCACACACTTAAATCCTCCAAAATTTCCTCTCTTCAGACATGCATATACCTTGTAGACAATTCACCCTTCACTTTACCTTCTTTCCTGCGCCAAGGCAAATTCTTCTAGCCATCCACCCACCTACATATCCATCCATCTATCTACCCACCCATCCATCTATCCAGAGTTTCTCTCATATATTTACTCATTTTTAGTGGGTGTATTGGCAAATCCATTAAGCCCTTACTGCTGGCCACAGACACAGTTTCTGATTAAGAAAAGAAATCCAAATGGGCTTTTTTTTTACTTTCTCTTTTGCTAGCATTTGTAGCAGATGCTTGTTAAAGGGGAGATGCTAAACTTGAGAACTGAATCGGAGCCCAATGTGTGAATGAAAAGCAATTGTCTAAAAGCTGGAACCCAGGGGAAGACATCCCTTAGCCGGGTCAGGAGGTAATACTGACATAGTTCTCTCTGGGTGCCAGCACCGTTCTAAGTGTTTTATGAATACTATTTTATTTACTGGGATCAGAAGATGAGTGTCACCCTGAGTGAAAATCACTGGTGGCTCACACTTCTACTTTTGGCAAGTATTAATATCATGGAGAAAAATCCTTTAAGCTCAGGATATGTCCTGGGGGGGCCAAATCTAGGGTCTTTTGCAGAGCCTCTGCACATCCTAGTATCAGTCAAAGTTGGCTCCAGGAGGCTGCCACAGAATGGGTGGCTTGCCTGAACTCCCCATGTTCCCAGATACCCTTGTATCTCTTCCTTGCAATCTGGGAAGCCTGACCAGCAAGCGACCATGCAAAAGGCTGCTCCACAAATGACTTCCCTGAGCAACAGTGTTGCTGAAACAAAGAGTTCCTGCAGGGGAATGGTGGGCAGCAACCCTGCAAAGGGAGCCTGGGGCCTCTGTCAACTGGAGCCTTTAGAGCAGGGTTCCCCACCCCCAGGATGCAGACTGGGGTAGGAACCACTCTGTACAGCAGGAGGTGAGTGAGCATGACCTCCCAAGCTCTGCCTCCTGTCAGATCAGCGGCAGCATTAGATTCTCACAGGAAGGTGAGCTCTTTTGTGAACTTAGCTTCTCAGATTGCAAAGAAGGATATCTGGGAGCATGGGAAAGTCAGGGAAGCCACCCATTCCATGGCAGTCTCCTGGAGCCTACTTTAACCAACACTAGAGGTCAAAACATTACCTGTTCCAGGCCTCTCTCCTAGCTTCTGGTAGACTCCTAGCTTGTGGAAGCTGAACTCCAATCTTCTCACCTGACTCTAGCTTGACTTCATCTTAACGAACCACATCTGCAAGCACCCCATTTCCAACTAAGGTGCCAGTCTCAAGTGCTGGGGCTTAGGACTTCTACCTATCAATGCGGACACCATGCAATCCCATAACACAAGCTAAGGGATTTGGACTTTATAGCA